CCAGCTGCTGAATTATACATCGAGAAAATTGACCTCGCATTACGTTGTGTCTATCAAACTTAGAGCCTCCTGGCTCACGGTCATGGCTTGTCAGGTTTGATGGGGAGCTGGTTAAACACAATGTCAGAGCAGGTTACCTGCCAGTCAGCTGGCAGCCCTGTGGTATCTATCAAATCCAGCAAAACACTGGAAAGTAATTCATGATGTACACTTCCGGTGATTGAGTCGTGGGGTCTGCTTTTCCATGTTAATGCTTCATAACTATCAAGGAGAAACCTGCCACCTTTCCCAAGCACTTCCAGCTCTTCACACCCTCCGGCTCCTTTCACACACATTACGATACACAGACCACACGCCGCAACAGCTGGAAGTCCCCCAGATCCCAGCTGCAGGATTTAGGTACCACAGCAGCTGATCGGGCTGGCCAGGCCTCATCCTCATGTGGCCTTCTCTTACCTGACCCAAGGCATTCCCAACGGTGGCCCTTGACTGGCCAGAGCAAGCACTGGGGGGGCTGGTGCCAAGGGTGGATTCAGGTTCTCCATCTGATCCCTTCGCAGTTGGAGAGGCTTCAGGGCACCTTCCCCTCCACCTTCAGCCTCCAGCTGAAACTGTGGCCAGCAGGGAGAGGCAGAAGTGCATGGAGTAATTCAGAGCTATAAATCAACAGACAAATTCAGATTTGTCTTTCAAATTTGCATCAAGCCAAACAAATGGCATGTCAACTTTAAGCCAACTGTAATGCTGTTGCCCCCGCCTGATGTTAGGCAGACTTCTAAGACGAAGATCCGCATTGTTGACTAAATGGCCTTCGTGCGATCAAGATTCAGATCTGACTGAAAGAGTATAGACTTTGGCCCTGCTGAAGAGTCACATTAAGATGCAACAAGAAAAACCATGGATGAAACTCTCCCAGAGCACTGTGCAGCTGGGGGAACGGCACAGGAACCTTTGCTGTTTTCCAGAACATGCTAGCAAAGAAGAAACAGCCCTGGGCTCTGGGAATCTTCATCCCACTTGAAAGGAGACTGTGCAGGCCAGAGTTCAAAGAGATCTTCGGGCCCAGGACGTTAGTCGGTCCTAGAGCACATCAAGTCCTGTCACAGCATGAAAAACAGAGCCAGAAAACCGGCTGTGTGTTTGTAGAGCCTTTGACCCTGCCGCGGCTCTAATGAGATGTCACAGAAATGTTACGTATAAGATAAGGCACGTATGTAGATCGCAACTGACGTGCTGCAAACGTCTTTTGTTTGTGCGGCCCTGCGCGTAGCTCCGACAGCGGCATTCCCAACAGGCAGCAGGAAAGCACGCTGGGGTGCCCGGAGTAGATGTTAACCTCGCTTTCAGGGCACCGAGTTACGTAATTCGGCCGTACGACGTGCCACGGCCAGTGTGGGGTTTTAACCATCACTTCATCCAAAGTGCCCCACGTCGTTGAGAATTTCACAGTTCAGCACACAGTAAATTGATTCCTTTACTAGGTCAGGCCTGGCGACAGGCATTGATTTAAGCAGCTTATCACAACAGACGACTAAACGGCAGCTCTGTACGATCAGGCAGAGGACGGATTCTGCTCCTGGTGACCAATCCCCAGAGAAACAGCCATGCTGGGAGCGTGGCAGAGCAGGGAGATCAGCCTCTGCTATTTGGTAGCATTTTCAGGGAACACCAAATGTTGTTTACTTCCTAATCTTCCTACAGAATATAAAGAATCGCTGCTCTGGGCTATTTCAGAGAGATAATGCGAGTGACTCACTCGAGTTGCATACTGACCTCAAGCACCATAGAGATCTATTTCACAGTGCTTTTAAAGACAATTAATGCAGATATCTGTACTGCTGAAGAGTGTACTTAGAGATTTTCATGAGGTGTTAAACCACACACATCTGGTCAAGCCCTATGTTATTTGTTATTATTAGTCAAGACATGCCTAATCATCAGTCATACCCTCTTCCAGGCTGTATTCCCTATGCTAAAGCAGCTTCCCAATTCATATTTACAGCCTTCATTTGCCTACATGTAACAGCTCTATAAGAACCATATTAATTGTAATTGGTGACAGATGCATACTAAACCCTACGTTCAGGTATGGAAGTAGATTCTGTGACCAGCTTTTATCTCTAACTGTGAGCTGAAACCAGATCTAAATTCCCACAAAGTGTTTAGTTATGGATGATGCCTGATCATGGTTTCTACTATCTGGAAGTGACTTTCAAAGACAAACTTTCTCAGGCTCTGCTCTTCCCTGCAAGCCGTGTCTTCGTCCCTTAAGTTTCCACAATCCCCATTATACTCACCTGAGTTCACCCACCTCACACCCAAAGGCTTCAAATTCTCTCCCTCTCACTGCTTTTCAGATTCACCCAGTCACGGCAGATCAAAAGACAGGAATCTGCCTCTCCTACATGCCCTGCGTTCAGGGGCCCACTAGCACTTCCATTTTGCTAGGGTGACCCCAGACCCTGCCAGAAGTGAACCTGGGCCCTACTTATGTGGTTACCCAGCAAAGTTATCATCTGTATTGTAAACACAAGCATGAAGAAGACACAGCCCAGGAACAGAAGGAGTCAGTCCCACTGAAACCACAGTCCACAGCTCCTTTTTGCCTGAAGGCCAAAGTTACAAGCGCCTACCACGTAGTCAGTTTTGAACTGCAGCCCTGTGAGGGAGTGACAGACAGGTTCGATGAACAAAGGGCCTGAGCCGATGTGACGGGAAGGGATCACAAAATCAACAAAACGGGGCTCAACTGGGATCATCGACAACATTTTGCATGGGGGCAAGGAAGTGCCTACAGGGCACCATTATGGAGTAACCCCAAAATGCCTTCTGGGAAATCAACATGCTGGGGGGGCCTCTCTGAAGTGTCTGTACATTAATGCACACAGTATGGGGAATAAACATGATGAGTTAGAGATCTGTGTGCAGCTGCAGGGCTACAATCTCACTGGGATCACAGAGACGTGGTGGGATGGTTCCCGTGACTAGAATGCTGCAACAGAGGGATACAGGTTCTTTAGCAAGGACAGGCTGAAAAAACAAGGAGAGGGGGTTGTCCTTTCTGTGACAGAGCAGCTGGAGTGCATAGAGCTCTGTCTGGGGATAGGAGTCAACTGAGAACTTATAGGTAAGGATTAAAGAGAAGACGGGTAGGGGTGACATTGTAGTGGATGTCTGCTATGGGCCACTTGGCCAGGAAGAACAAGTGGATGAGGCCCTGACAGATAGGAGCATCCTCACATTTGCAGGCCCTGGTCGTTTATGGAGGACTTCAACCACCCCAATATCCACTGGAGGGACAACACAGCAGTGCACAAGCAATCTAAGGAGGCTCCTGGAGTACATCAGGGACAGCTTCCTCACCCAACTGATAGAGGAGTCAATGAGGACTGGCGCTCTGTTGGACCTCTTACCGACCAACAACAAGGGGCTCGTGGGGCATATGGAGGTCAAACGCAGCCTTGGCTGCAGTGACCATGAGATGGTGGTGTTCAGGATCCTGAGGGGAGGGAGCAGGGTGAAAAGCAAACTCACAACCCTAGACTTCAGGAGACCAGACCTCAGCATCTTCAAAGATCTGCTCAGAAGAGTCCCATGGGATAAGGACCTGAAGGAAAGAAGGACCCAAGAAAGCTGGCTAATATTCAAGGATAACCCCCTCCAAGGAGATCTGTGTGGATGAACAAGGAGCTCCTGGCCAAACTCAAACATGAAAAGGAAGCTTACAGAGGGTGGAAGCAAGGATGAGTATCTGGGGAGGAATAGAGAGACAATGTCCAATCATCCAGGGACGAGGTTAGGAAAGCTAAAGCCCAGTAGGATTTGAACCTGGCAAGGGATGTCAAAGACAACAAGAAGGGCTTCTTTAAGTACATAGGTGACAAAAGAAATACTGAGGAAAATGTGGGCCCTCTGATGAATAAGATGGGGGACCTGGTTACACAGGACATGGAAAAGTCTGGAGTACTGAATGCCTTCTTTGCCTCAGCCTGTACTAGCAACACCGGCCTTCAGGAATCCATCTGAACACCAGGAAATTCTTTTTTTACTTTGAGGGTGACCAAGCGCTGGCACAGGTTGCCCAGAGAGGTTGTGGAGTCTTCATCCTTGGAGATATTCAAAAGCCACCTGGACATGTTCCTGGGCACCTGGCTCTAGGTGACCCTGTCTGAGCACGGAGGCTGGACCAGGTGACCTCCAGAGATCCCTTCCAATCTCAACCATTCTGTGATTATGTAATAACTATTAGCTGATTAGTAAGTGACATGGGAATGGAAAAAGGAAGGGATGGGAACATGTATAATAATTTCTGTATCACTTTGTTTTTTCTTCCCCATAGTCAGTCAAAAGCTGGAGAAAGAATGCTGTTTCCCTCTCTTACCGCTATGAAAATTTGGGAAGAAGCCCTCCTTTATCAATGCATGCAGGTCTGTGCAATCTCAATTCAGCATGACAAAAATCAATGCCCAAAACACTAAGAAATTATCATCTCATCCGGTGGATCTCTTAATAATCTTCACATCAAGACAGAAATGTTTTCCAGAAACTCAAAAACTCTGCTTAGTCAGATGCAAGTCACTCACCTCAAGCAAATACAAGCAAAACTAGTTACAATTAAATACCTTATGATGAATCTTAGATTTTCTTTTGGGTAGACCGGTCCAGTTTAAGCTTAGACTATATTAATGTGAGAATCTGGGAAGGAAAGCCAAATCAGTTTCGCTCCACTGAAAACACAGAGAGGGGCATCTTTTAAACAAGCTAGCACATGATTTACTGTCTTTTGATTGGTTGGTTGGTTAGGTTTTTTGAGGGATTGGGATTTTTTTTTAAAGCATAATGGTACTTTAATTGCAGGTCTGCAAACACTTCCATGTTTTCTTTGGTAAATACACTGAGGAAACAGTGACCCTTCACAACTGAAATGTACTCAGGCAGCTCCTTACAGGTATGCCTTTCCACTTCCACACAATCAAGGAGGAAAACGTTGATGCTGAGAGTGGTAATAAAGACTAGGAATTTATTAGCATTCTAAAACACAACTTAAATGTGTGTGTGTTATTCTTCTAATCAGTGCCTTACAGGAATAAATACAGAAAATAAAACTGATTTGAGACATTTAAGTATTAATTACATGACATGGTAAATCATGGTGCTCTCAAGATTTTATGTAAAATCCACTGAATTAATTGAGTCTCTTTAGATTCACATGGGCTTTGGTTGAGACCCTTAATGATATTACAATCCATCTGTTATTAAACATCATGTTTAATACCATAGTATGCAAATGCTGTGATTTGTAAATATCGTTATGCAAAAGTTCAGGTCCAATCATGCTCCTCTTGAAGTCTGCAACATAATTTCTAGAGACATCAATAAGAATAGGTCTGGGATATCAATTTTTAATTGCACTGTATACAAGCATTGACAGAAGAATACAATATAGTAGTCACAAAATTAAAGAGGCTTCTATGAAACCTACAAAGAAGAGCAGCACAGAATCTATGAAGTAAAAGCAATATTTCAAAAAATAATAAATCAGACTTGGCAGTTTTGGAAAACAGTACTGAAGAAAAAGACAAATGAATTGGCACAGTTGAACAACCTATTTTCTAAGTGCACTTTATAATAACTCTTCTTACAAGCTGCTGTTTTCCCAGGAGATGATGACAAAAAGCCTCATTAGAACATCACTGTTTTATAGTGACAGGTTTTATTGCATTGCCAGCTGTGAATAAAAAAAAAAAAAAAAAAGCCACCCCAAAAAAAAACCTCCTATAAAAGTTCCTAAAACACCTCTTTTCTTTTGTTATCATCAAAAAATAGCAACATAGCACTTCTATATGTTTGTGAATACCCACAATTCTATTTTAAAAAAAAATAGAATTAAGGAAAATGATTTTTGTCTTAGCTTCAAAAATAATGTAAAGAAACATTTAAGAACAAGATATTTCCATGATCAGAGAGGTATGTACAGTGTGATAGATTCGAGTCCAATCCTGCAAATACATGTTCACAAATGCAGACTTGAGAACCTGTTGATCCTGAGCAAGTGTGATTAAAGACTAGCAGGATCAGGGTCTTAGTTTCACCTATTATAAGCTTTTCCACAAACTGTCCTAGGCTAAAAAGTATAGATACAGTATATACTCTGTATACTGACTCATACAAAAGGTCTTTTACAGCTCTAACCCTGTTATTGCTAGGCTAAAAATGAACATTTGGAACAAATTACATGAATCATAAAGGATAAAACTGAGATGCAGCTTCTGACGACTGAATCTCCACTTGAGCCATTTTAAACTGGGTACATTGTAGCCATTTGCGGAGCACAGATGAGCTATTGTTCATTTGTCCTGACCCCTGTAACATCCTTAGGCTGTGATGGTTGACATTGCTCTGGATGGCTTGGAGGCGCAGCTGGAGTCCAGCAGATAAATGCTGTTGAAATAATGCAAAACATTCAGTTTCTTTCCTTTAACACATAAATACAGCACTGTGAAAGGTACTGGTTGTTGGCCAGGGTAAGTTCCTCCACTGCCCCAATGTCACATTGCTGTCTGTCACAGCCTGCACTGCAGTGTTGCCATGAAAGGCAGATGTGCTTACAGAAACAACTCCATACTGAGACCAACCCCAAAGCTTTTGTTCTCATCACCAAAATTCTCTTGACTGGCAAACCACACTGATCTACCTTGCTCTGTTTCTTACAAATAGGGCCAGCTGGCACAGTTCTACCCAAGCAAGCAGGCCCACAATATCTCCTGTAGACTCAAAATCCATCTCCTGGGTCAAGAGTTCCAATCCTGATTTGTCAGGGGACTCTCTAGCCTAAGACATCAAGAAAACCACAGCTCGGGGAACAACCAATCTCAGTAAACAGGGAGGAACGGCCGTGTGCCCCAGAACCTGGTTAGAGGAAAGTGTTTCAGAAGGAAAGGGAGAGCAGTACTGATTACAGGAGAGGTATCTTAGCTGATGATGCTCTGTGTATGCTCACTCCTGAGACCTTCAGTGCTGAGACATCCAGTGCATCTGATACGCTACAATGATCTATTTTCAGAGTTTGGAGACCACATCTAGTGATCTTATTTCCAGAATACACAGAAATGTGTAACGCTAAGAGTAAAAGGATAAGGTACTAGAAACAGCTTACCTTTAGATTTGACTGTATCATTGGCAACCACATTGGTATGAGCTGTAACAAGAGAGGTATATTTTGTTATTATAAAAGTGACTGTAAACGTGCTCCAGTTACTCTGAGATAGAGAAGGGTATATCCAATGCATTTAGCTGTCCAAATGGACATAGCCTGAACCACAAATAAATGTGATTATTTTTAAGTGATGTATATGTTTTGGGGCAGGTAACTCTCAGAGTTAAAAAAGCCAGCTTCCCTTGTTTGTAGCTTGATGAATCACCAGTAGCAATTATTGATATCCTGTTTAAGGCAACAATAAGAGTACAGAATAAAAACATGTTAAAGGAAATCACTTCTTATTTTCCTTGTGGTGGTGTTTCTGTATATGCAGGTGAGCAACACTAGAACAAATACAGTAAACATTCTGCATGGTGAGGTATACATCAAGAACTGAAAAAAACACGTAGCAGAAGTTCCTAATAATAGGACAGAAATTTAAATGGTAGCCAGCATTTCATAAGCCACTAGTCACATCAGTGCTTCACTGCAGAGTGTGACCTGTAGGCCTGGGAGCACAGATGAAAACTCTTAACTACCCAGAATGACAAGGCAAGGACGTCTGCAAATCTGTCACCCACGATGGGATTGATACGTATTTCAGTCTCCTGCTCTTCAGAGACTTATTTCTGAGTAAGTATAACATGACAAGCTTATGGAAGGCACAGAGTCATTTCTAGCAAAAGTATTCATGTCCTCCAATATTAATTTAACCACTGAGGTTATTGTTCTAAAATGTTCCTCCAAATGGTATTAAAATTTGCAATTTGCCAATTATACTACCAGGAGCTGCAAGTTAAAGCTAATCACTATTGACAACATTAGATAAAGTGCTGTTTCCCTTGTGCAAGGAACGATAATTGTTTCAATTTCAGTGCTGTTTTGATGGAGAATCATATGCAGCTCTGTCAGGACTGATTAGCTGGTCTGCTACATGAAGAACCCTATTCAAACCTCAGCATTTACAGATAGATGAATGCCAAAAACAGAATGCAGCCAGATGCTGCAGATGTGCGAGTCCTGTACATCCTCCCATGAGCTCTCACACTAATGAAATGTTTAATAAGATCCAGTGACTGCAAGTCCTGATGTGTTTTTTGGAGAGGAGGGAACAGGTAAGCATACTGAAAAGCCATGCTCCACGCCCCACTGCCATCAACAAAATGTCACTGAAAATTTCATCCAGCATTAATGAAGTTCCTACGCAGCCAGCCAGTGGTGATAGGACTGGTGTCAAGCAAGGAAGGAAGCCAGGCAGGAAACTCAGGGTACCCCTCTGCATCTGAACCAATTCCCTGGACATCGTTTACAGTCAGCTGAGAGAATCAAGCACTTCTCACATCCAGTTCATCTTGTCCCAAAGCAGGTATCTAAAATAGATCGAGATGAATCATGTCCAAAAATATCTGTTTATCCCCACTGACTATAAAGGGCACTCACGGAAACTAGCTCATATTGATACCTACACTGTGGAGGTCTAAGGTTAGATACAGATCATTGTCCTCCAGCGCCACTTTTTTCTTCCAGGTCTGGACACATTTAGGGAAATTAAACATTCTGCTGCAGGCACAAGCAAGCAAACCCTCCACTCCTACAGATGCCAGTTAGATAAATGAGACAAGACAACATTTTTATTGAAGCACTTGAGTTTTATTACCTAATCCCCAGCCAGCCTTTTCTTCACAACAGAAGAATATACATAAAGCTAGTTAGGAAGAACAGCTGGAAGAACAGACTGCTGCCAGACACTGTCAATTTTTTGGAGTATATATTTTCAACAGAATTATATTGATTCCAGTGCAAGTTTTGATGGAAACCAGGCTGGAGAACAGGTTGGTCACTGAGCTTTTCTGGCTCCTCAACTCTGCTGCCCACCCAGTTCTCTAGAAGTCTACCCAGCAGCTGCTGGAGCTGCCTAAAACCCCTGGGTCTCTGGAAAAGACGTTGTGGTTTGCCGAGATGCTCTCTCCACTACTGTAGGCTCCCAAATTCCTCAGACATACAGAGAGCTGTGATCAGCAAGGAGCTGGTCTCCATCATCAATGGCTGTCCTGGGATGGCTAGTTTCCCAGTTCCTTTGACACAGAACAAGAGGAAAGCTGAACACTTTCATTTCAGCCCTCATAAAGTAGAATGCTTCCCCTCAGAGGAAAATATAATGAATTAAATATATATGTAGGTAAGTGTGCATCTGTGTGAATGTGTGTGTCTCTCTCTCTCTCTCTCTCTCTCTCTCTCTCTCTC